ACAGTAATTATTTTTATTTCTTGAACTCCCTGCCCTGCTAAAAATGTTCTATTTTCTGTCTGCTTCTTTCTTCAGTAGTTCATTAATCAGCTGTTCAGGGTTTAAGATAAGGCTTAAAGGAGGAAAAATTGACAGAGATTTATGTGTATCTGCCTTACATGTATAAAATAAAACCTCATTCAAAAATTATCTTCTTTACTGAATAACTAATTCTTTCTCAATTCTTACCAATGCTAGCAATGAGGGTGTCTAGACCACTGGGTGTATTTTCCAGAGATAAGGCTTCTTAACTTCCCTGCATCCAGCTGATGAACATATTGCTTTTGCAGCCAAGAGGATGCTTTTGGAAATTAAAGACATACAGTACTTAACAAAATCTGATTCTAACAAGTGGTAACCTATTAAGTCAGCTTCTGAAACTGAAGTGTGCGTTATCTTCCTTTTGAGAACCCACCGCTTAAGAAATGATTCTTGCAGTGTTTTCCAGACTTAGACTACTTTTCACTTGGAAAAATCTCTTTTCAGATGGTTGATTCCTAAATTGCTGAGGTTTTTACTCTGTAATAACTTCTGCTTCTTCCAGACATTTATCTTGACCTAGTGTATGCAGGCCTTCTTACATTAAAAAAGCATTATAATGCTGTAGTGCATCAAAAAAAGATGTTTGGTGCTACATGTCTGGACAACAGCATGAATTTCTCATCTTACAGGCCTGACTTAAGGTTAAAAATCTACAGCTTTGTTATTTCAAGTGACTTGCTGCATGTTAGAAATGGAATTAGAGCCAAGATTAGCTACTCAGTTATTTTTGGTAATACTTCTAATACATAAATGTGATTTGAATTTGAAATTTGGAGCTCAAGTGGGGGCTTGTTTTTTTCTAACATGACCAGTGCTATGTTAGCTGCAAGACTAATACAAATATTTTAATGGTTATTGGCTGGGGTTTTGGGGTGGTTTTTGTCTGTATTCTTAAGGGTATTCCCCTCTTGCTTTTGCCGTACCAGTAATAGTGTAATGCTGACAATGGAACTGACTTTCCTGATGTTCCTCCCCTTCTATTTTCTCTGTGTATATTTAGGAAGGAATTTTCTTAAAGATAATTGTCAAGTACTCTAAAAATCTTGAAGTCACGAGTTAATGGAGCAATTAAAGTTAGGATATCCCAGACTACTTTGAGAGGAAAATTGAATACTTAAAACTTTGAATTTTATGCCAGCTGATAGTGGGAGTATAGGCTTCAGTTCTTCAAATTGCTTCATTTGAGTGGAAAACTTGTACGTCGGAATTAACTGTTAGTGTATCTTCTCAGTATTATCGTATCGTGTTCTCTTTTCTTCAGAGCGCTACGAGTCTGATAAGCAGAACAGAGAGTTCTTAAAGTTTAATCCTGGAGCAGAGAGCTGGATAATCCGAGTTTTCAGCTGGATCAGACCAAAACAGGCATTGAGCTTCTCTGCCTCTGAAATGTGCTTTGCTCCTAGAGCTGCATTTCCTTGTCTATCCAGGCAGTTGTGTAACGTTTGCAGGGCAGTTATGTTTAACCAGTTCTGTTACAAGTGAGGGGCTATGCTGTAAAGAGTTAATCAAAATGAAGGAGATGCTGTCCTCTTTCAGTATCTCTTCAAGATCTATTCAGCAGCATATGCTGCTATTTTTACAACATGAATCTGTTGCCAGTCTACAGAACACATGTTTTGAAGTGAAGCATGAGAACGCTGAGCATTATGAAAGTAACTAAGCTCATTAGTGGCAAGGGAGGGCTTTGCTGTATTAACTGTGATGTTGTAATATCTCTGACTAATTAGCTCTTCTCCTAATTAGATTCAGAGCAATTAAAGCTTTAAAGACTTCTGACAAATTTTTTGAGAGGACTGTAAATTTCAGGTACATGACTTTCTCGTTTGGAAGGAGCATCTTGGTGCATGCTCACTGGTGTCAGTGGCTGACTTAGATTAGTTCCCAATTAATTATTGAAGGCTGTACGTAGTCTGTTATCACTGTCCTAGTACTGTATGTGTAACTTCTCTAAAGATCTGGGTGTTCTGCAAAGACTGGCAGCCATTTGGTGTTCAGTTCAGCAGAGCCAGAAACAGAAGACATGCACACGTAGTGCTCTCATGCGGAGAGATTAATTTTTTCTCGGTTTAAAATAAACCATTCTGATTAAAAGCATCTGCATTTTTCTTTTGCATAACAAAAATGGTTTCCAAAATTAAAGGCTTCTAAAACATCTTTGCAGTCTCCTGCAGAGATTTCTATCCAAAAGCCAGCAGTTTCATTTACAAATATGCGTTGTGCTTAAAACTATTGGACAAAATCTTACTCATGATCTTTCAGATTGATGGATAACCTTTAGCAAATACTACTGTGGCTCTCTTCTTTTCCTTAAAGAGCTGTAAAATTCTAACTTTGGATTTCTGTCCTATCTTGAGTATAGATTAAAGGTTAAAGCTTAAAATATACAAGGGATTGGTTAAATCAGACTAGTTCTAAGCCTATTGACTGTAGCATCTGTCCTTCTGAGGCCTTAGTGCTATGTGAGTTGAGCTGCGAATCTCTGAATGAAGACCCCATCTTTGGGTTTGAATGCTCAGTAACAGAGTTCTAGTTTCTAGTTAGAGATTAAATATTTTCATGCTTTTCTAAAAAGGGTAGGGAGCTCTGATTGTGGGGAGAATGTCGCTGGCTGTTAGATACTGAGCCAGAATGATGTGGTTGATGTTGATTTACGTGCTTGTCGTGCTAGGGAGATCAGAAAGCAGGATCTTTAGGAAATGCCATTACTTTACTAGTATGACCAAAGGATCCCATTTAGGTAGAGAACACATGGACAGAACATCTCAGTCATCAGCCAGCTGCTGAGAGCATCTTTATTTCTTTTGTACTTAACACCAATGTCTTCACCTCCTTTGGAAGAGAGTGTCAGAAACCCACGGAGTGGATGGATTCCCAGCCTGGAGGAGTCCTACAGTGAGTTTAGGGATTCCAGCACTCTTGCCTAGAGCTCGTGAAGAGCTGTGGGCTTTTAGCTGTTTAAGCCAACAGCTCTGCAGCTTTAGGCCAGGATTGCTCTTGATTTACAATGAGCTTTTTGGTAAGGTACCCAGATGTATGCTGTAGGCAAAATCTGTATGTGATGATGCGAGAAGAGTGAAGAGCTGTCATGGTAGCTGTTATAGCATAGACTGATCAGGTGCTTTAAAGATAAGATAATATGTCTTTGTGTATTAGCAGCATTTCTATTTCTTAGACTTTGCAGTTTATTTTCCTACTGAAACATTCAAATGAGGGATCGGATGTGTAGTTTGGACCAGGGTTTATAACAACTTATGTTTGTTCTAGAGAATTTTTCCTCACGCATGTGTAATTACGTGTAAAATGTTCGTCACTGTTGAAGGATGCAGCTTCCTCCTTAGAAGCTGCCGTTAAAATTGCCTGACTGGGCTGGTGCTCTGCCTCTCAAGTACCAGGTTTCAGTGACTTTTACTTTTGGGCTGTCCTGTGAAGGATTTGGTGAGTTAAAGGGTAATGTTCTTGGCGCAATTCCTACTTGTGTGTATAATGCTTTACAAAGTTGGTTTAGCAGCATGATGAAGAGTCTACTTCTTCCCTTTCCATCTCTAGAGACAGGAAAGCTGAGGAGCAGTAGGGAGGGCAGAAGTTGCTGGAAGTTGTTCTACAGGCCAGTGTTACAATAGCAGCTGGACCTCCTCAGTCTAGGGCTCACCAGCTGGTAGGTGGTTTAACTCTTAAAGCATTGATGGCTTATTTACTCTGATTTTTGTTCATTATGGAAATTATCTCCCTAATAGGAGTATTTCAGAAACAAGCACTCAAGCTGCTGGAAAAAAACCCACTATTGATGGTTAGCATAACTGTTCTTTTTTGCCTCAATTTTCTGAAAGGACCCATTATTAAGATAAGTATTTCCAAGTGAATGTGAGTCAATAGAATAGTTAAAAGTGCTGTATGCTGACCTTCTCAGCTTTGAAGTAAGCTTAATAGAAGAAATCCTTAATGAATGTATTCCAGGAATAATTGCTTGGCATTGCAGAGCCACATTTGAAACTTTTGGTTAAAGAGAAGTACTTGATATCTGCACTGTTGCACAGTATTTTGTCTACAAGCTTGATTGGCTCAGCAAACAAACTGGGAAAAAAAAAAAGCTTCACTTGACTTCTGTGGCTCTTCTGTCTCCACCTTCTGGAAGCTGATAGCAAATAATTTAAAGTCAGTTTACTGAGTTAATGAACTGGAAAGCAGATGTGTTGCAAGATGTGTGTTTTGACCCTAGTTAAAGGATGTCATCAGGATTTTGTTTTAGTTATTCCAAAACACTGAGTCTAGGGAGCAAATAATTGGGATGAAAATTCTCCTTAAGCCAAAACTGTCTTTTTTTTTTTTTTTTTTTTTTTTTCTTTGCAGAATGTGTCAGCCTGGGGTCAGCCAGGGGGTTAGCTGGTTTAACTGTACTGTGAGCGTACTGTTGTAAAAGAATAGAGTAAAACTGTAATGGTCCAGATGACCTCTTCCAGTCATTGCCATCTGAGTGTTCTTGGCTTCATTTTTGGAGGTGAAGGAATATTTATGAGAATTTCTGGGAGGACAGTTTGGTCCACCACAGGCAGCATGCTGAAGGCTGTGCTTTCAGAGAGAATAAACTGCTTTGTAAACCTGCAGGTGAGAAAAAGTAGGAGGGGAAGGAGAGGGAGCCAGAGGGCAATACTTCAGAAAACCATGCTCAGGGTTTGGTCTCCCTCTCGCTGTTTTTTTGGGTGGTATTTTCTTTCTGCTGTTCTGTATATTGGGCTGTTCCCTGGCCAGCAGTACTGTCATGTGGATCAAATGATCACCTTAGTAATAGGTTAATTGGCTACAGGCAGAGCTATGAGCTGTGAGGGAAAGCTTTGTAGCTTGTTGTCACATGCTGGTTTCTCAGAATAGCCTTTAGCTGGGAATTTAAGGCATCTTTCCTGGCCATTCTTGTCCCTTTTCAGGTTGCGGCTGCTCCCTGGTGGTTACCTGTGAAGGGAGCCAACTGGAGGCACCCGGAGGGTCCTGACTCGAGTATCTCCAACAGGTAAGCCATGAGCAGCTATTCAACTATAATAAGTGCTTGTAAATACACCTGTAAACTTGCACCAGGAAGGGAATGCAAAAAAGGGGTTTAAATTAGTTACTTGTTTGTTGCTGCTTTTGCAACTATTTTCCCATCTTTTAGTGTGTTGCAGGCAGTATTTGGTGGCTGTATGGTCAATGACGTAGTAGCATTTCAAAAAGGTCTCTAAGCACTTTCCACCCGAGGGAAAAGAGACCGTACTGAAATGTGCTTCAGTGTTTTTTCACGTTTAGGTATTGGCAGTGAAACAGAGCACATCTTGAGAGGGTCAGTAAATTCCGAGCATTCAGTGCAGATTTGGTTTTAGAGAGGGAGACTAAATACTAGCTGCATGCCTACCCTCGGAGTGCATGTAACGTCCTTCATCTGGGATTTGGAGGCCTATCTCTGGTGGTAGAAGACTGAGAGGTTTTTTCCTTTTTACTGCAGTTCTGACTTTATGGACTGATTATTGTGGAAAATCAGTTGTGACTCTTATATAGAAGCTCTAAATGCTTTGGAAAACTTTACTTTTTCTTAACCTGTAGTTAGTGCCATGCTTTGCTAGCATGATCCTGAAACTTGCTGATCTGTGTCTTTATGGAATCTCTTTCCATTCAGAAGTGGAATGAATTTTAGGCCTAGAAAATCAGAAGGCTTTATTATTCTCAGGTGCTTTTTATGGATGCTGCAGAACTAGCCCTGGGTTGCATATGGGAAAAGCCATTTTTCAGTGATGTATATGGCTGTATGCTTACTTGGAGATGGCTGCCTTCATTTGAGGCCTCTTACTTTGCAACTCGTTCTCTTGCTAGGCGTCAGTGAACTTGGTGCTAGCTGCCTTAATCAACTAATTAAAGTTTCAGAACTGCTGTTTGAAATAGTCAGACTCTCTAGTCTAAATCTCGTAGATGCTGGCATGGTTTTGAGTCCTCTAAGGACAGGGCTGTGTTAGTGTAACATCATCTGATGGCTGAACTGCTTAGTAACAAGTCCGTTGTCTGTTCTCCAAGGGCAGTGAAAGAATTATCTTAGGCAAAAATAGAGATAATATGAGGAGGCGTTTTTAGAGGGAGACAGCGAAATTTAGGTCACAGTCAGCAGATAAGAGTTGGAAACCTGCCATGCCAATCTAGTCTTGCAGAAGTATGGTGTAAACCTAGGCCAGCACAACTGCTGGTGAACTTGCCACAGGGAAGTAGCCTAATGGCCCAACAGGCATATGCTGGCTTGTTGCATGAGGCAGGAAAGACAAATTAATATCAAGTTCTCCGTATCTGTCTTCCCTCAGCTATTTCCCAAGTACCCTCAGCTCTTGAAGTGTCTTGGTCTATTAGAGGCTTGCATGGGGAGGACCCTTGTGACAAAAATGACTTGGCATTTTTTCGTTTTCTGGAAAAAGAGGGCAGGATTGTAAGGGCAATCCTGGAACTAAACCAATGGAAAGACAGGAGCTCTGGTGTAAACTGTGGACTGCTTGAAACACCTGAAGAAAAATAGTTTTTTGTTAAGTTTCTGTACTTTGCTGTTTGCTGGATTGGGTGCTGTAAGAGATGATGTTGCTAAGAGCAAGGACTCTTCCATCTCACTTCTCCCTCAAAAAAACTCCACAACTGACAGCAAAAAAAGAACCTGCAGCAAAGAGAAGTGTGCACAGGGAAGTGAGCATTTGCTGTTAAATTGCAATGTAATTTTTTCTATTGAGAATTCTGGCTGCTTGTTAAGATACTGTTAAACTAGGCTAGTGAGGAGTAGTGATGCAGTCTTCTGGTTACTTCCTTTGGGTCTCTGAGCACTTGCACTTCCACAGAAGCCAGTATATCAATAGTTCTTCACTGTCTCCTGGGTGCAGCAGGTTTCTGAGGTGACTCCATGAGAAAGCACAAGCCACAAATGTCTTTAGTGCACATAAAAGCATGATGAGGCCAACAGCGGTTAGGGTTTCTTTTCTCTTCCTTGTTTTTCTCTGGCTGCATTTCCGTTCCAGCATCTTGCTGTCTGTCTTTTAAATAGCTTCTCTTCTGTAAAAGTAAACTGATAGCTTGTCCACAGTTGTAACTGAACTGTGAACTTCCTCACGGTCCTTTGTGGCCACCTCTAAAAGAGTTTCATAAAGTGCATGTGCTGTATAGCTGTGAGAGTGCCTCCTTCTGCTGATGTTCTTGTCTTGTTTATTTTGTTTCCCAGAATGGATCATCCTGTTCTTCACGTTTCCTGGAACGATGCTGTGGCATTCTGCACATGGGCAGGGAAAAGATTGCCCACTGAGGCTGAATGGGAATACAGCTGTCGGGGGGGGCTTGAAAATAGGTACCTGTCACAAATGTGTCCCTGATAAATGTTTAAAACTGGTATTTACCGGATAAGGAAGAGCTGTGTGGGTTTTCGTTACCCTCAATGTCTTGTGTAGTGGTACTCTGACATAGTCTGAACAGATTCCTTTAGGTAAGTGAATTTCCCTAAATACCTAAATGGTACGTGGTAATCTGAATGCTAATGGGACAAGAATGCAGAGAGCCCAAAAGAGGAGGAGATGTGACAACGTGTCAAGACACAGGACTGCTGCTATTGCAGGAGATGGAAAGTGTGGCAAATGAGCTTAGCACCGAGGCCAAAAGAGTTGCAAAAGATCTTAAGTAAATAACTACATCACTGCACATCAGCTGTAGGGCCACTACATCCACTTGTTATCTGACTGTGGGCTTGGGGAGGAGGGAAAGATGAAGTGGATAATAGGTTTACGTCTTCTCCATCCTGTGTCCTGGACTACGTACCACACAGGCTGTTTCGTGTACAAATTGTCCTCACAGAACCCTTGCTTTCCCTGAAAACCTGCCCGATGTTGGTACAAATGGAACTGGAATACAAACAGTTCTCCAGGGTAAGGTGGGGAGGAAGGGGAGTGTGTGTGTGTAGGTCTTTTTTTTTTTTATTTAAATAAAAAATGTTTGACAACTGTTTTTCTGTATGTCTTTTAATAGACTTTTCCCCTGGGGCAACAAGCTTCAGCCAAGAGGTGAACATTATGCCAATATCTGGCAGGGAGTGTTCCCAACTAATAACACTGCGGAAGATGGATACAAAGGAACTGCACCTGTAAGTGTGTCTCAAAGTGAATTAATCATATGGAAATTAACTTAGTCTTCCTAAAATTGAGGTCTGTGTTTAAAACAGTGGACCATGGCTGTTTTCCATTCCTGTACTCTTTTACCTTTAGATTTTTAAAGTTACAGTATATTTCACTGCAGGCTTGAGTATTACCAAGGGACATTTTTAAAAAGCTAATTGAAAAGTAAAGATTAGTTTCACTTGAACTTTTAGTTCCTCTCAAACTGACATCTTTTTCCCCTTTCCAGTCAGTTTATAGCCAGAAGCTGAAATATTTTCTGCCTGCACTTTTGGCATTGCAATTTTTTGAAATCTTATTTTTTGGGTAGTTGTTCCCATGGCACAGAAGTCATGCAATAATTTAACAGAAATGAAACTTCCCTTTTTGGAAAGGTTGAGTCTGTCTAATATGGCAAACAACAGAGTAGAATTTTAAAGACAATCAAGAATGGGAACGGATTATTAAATGGTAGTTAAAGTAGGTTCAAATAGTTTGATCAGTAGAGAAGTCTGCAGTGCATGAGTTGACATCCAGCCTTGCTTCCCTTTGATGGGAAGGGGAATCTGGAAGTTGTAAGCCTGGACATGGAGGTCAGATCACTGTGGCCATGTTCAGGTCTGTGTCTGTTGGTCAGACAGTGCCTTGCTTTAAAGGATCAGTCTCCAGAACCAGTGAGAAGATGCTGTGTGCCATAGTGGAAATGTGGTGCTGAGAATGCTGATAATAGTTCATTCTTTTGTTCTCTTTTAATGGTGTATGTAAAAGTTTTATGGTTCTGCACTACTAATTTGGTGTCTGCTTGTGAGATATGAAGGCAGAAGCTCCTAATAAAGACAAACGCATTTTGAGCAGACTGGTCTTCAGGATTAAAAACCCCATTTCACGTTGAGTCATTCACAGAACTGGCACTTGTGTTCCATGTCTTGCGTAGGTCACTGCGTTTCCTCCCAATGGGTATGGCTTGTATAACATTGTAGGAAATGCCTGGGAATGGACGTCGGACTGGTGGGCTGTGCATCATTCAACGGATGAAGTTCACAACCCTGTAAGTATTTTATCAGCATCACATGAAGTATAGAATTCCCTCTTGCTACTCCAATCTGGTTGCTGTTTTAAAACCAACTGTTCTTTGCTTCTCTCTGTTGAGAAACAAGATTTTGCCAGTTACTTTCAAAAAAATAAGGAGTTTTTTTGTTCATTTATGTTGCTACAAGCTGTACTACTTTTTTTCTTTTTTCCCCCAGGTAGCGAACAAACCATTGTGAATTATCTTTATGCCTTCTACTTGCTCGTTTAAAACTCAGCATGTAAAAAAGCTGAAGTTCATGGGGAGAAGTAGCTTACTAGGCTTTGAGGGGTTAATCTTTGGTTTTCTTTGTGGCAGACAGAAAAAAGTCCTGCAGGGTAAGCTTTGTATGGGGGTTTCTCATGGAGTAGCTCTCAACAGATTCAAGTTCTAGTGTTACATCTTCTTTCTCATTTATCCAGGATGACTAAATCTGAGAAATGCACTGCTCTGCTCTCACAGAGCTTGTTTTGTTCAGACACTGTTATCTGTAATGAGAAAACCAATTAAACCTCACGGGGCAGGAGCTCTCTGCTGCAGGATTTGAGTATCCCCGTGCTGTGGTTTCTTATGACATGTGTAGTCTCTTTGGTGTGCTGGACATAATTGGAGGCCTTTCTGGGAAGTCAGCAATTGGAAGTAGCTGGAGGAACTTGCTAATTTTTTTTTTTTGCGGTTCTGTACATTGCAGAGGTTGACATTCTGTTGTTCTTCCAGGAGGATGTGTCCAGCAAGAGAAATCAGACTCCTCTCTAGATTGCTCTAGGTCTGTAGTAGCAGCTTCACCAGCTGATGGAGCATCTGGAGACCTCCTAACCCATACCAGTCACACAGGCTGGGTGCCAGTTCCTTGTATCCCAGTAAGATACCACAGGCCTCTCTAGTGGCTTCAGCTGTGTCGGACAGCATGCTACATACATCTTCCCAAATAAACGAAATGCTGAGGACTGTAGCTATTTTTTTTTTCTTGTTGGATTTAAAATAGGATGGACTATTCTCCAATTTTTGCTTGTAGGCAGGCTTAGTGGCATAGCAATGGCTAAAGAACCTTCTTTTCCGTTGGGATCTTGGTCATGTTGTCCTGCCATCAATTTACCTTTCTCACATACTGTACAAATTCATAGGATGTGATCTGAATATTTCACAGTAGTCAGAATTTTCTACCAGTTTCTGCAATTCAGCAATAATGGAAAGCTGTAGTGCATGAATTGTCTTGAATGTATAAACACACCTGTCTTTTCCCAACATTGACTCATGGCTTGCATATATGTACAGATTAAATTTATAGAGAACTTACACTTAGTATTCAAACTGATTCATTAAATTTTGTTTTTTTCCTGTTTGCATTCTGATTGATTAGGAAAGAAACATCTGCTGTCTTGTAATTCTGTTTCCATTCTGGTGGGTGTTTTACACACAACTAAGGATAATTTTTTTTCTGTACATTATGAATGGAAAAAAGGCCAGTTTAAGAGCAATATTTCTAAAGATGAAGTGTTGAGCAGCTAGAAGAATGTAAATTTGGATGAAAGTGAAGAACAATAAAACTAGTGAACTTTCCCATGTCAGAGTAGGTGAATATTGATTTGATTGCGGCCTGATGAGTTGGGGGAGGGAGGAGGAGGGGGAGCAAGGCTGAGCTTGGTTCCAGACTGGGTGATCAGTCACCATGGTTTATACCAGGGAAACTTCTACATTACCCCTCTTACTGATGAAGCTTCCCATCAGTGCCTGGCACTATGCAGAATGATCTATATATGCTGCCTTAACTGGGGCAGGGGGAAAGGGCCCTTTGAAAAGCATCTGGGTCTGGCGGTTGGAAGCTTATTGCAGCTGTCCCTGCTCTCCTTCAGGTGTTTCTCAGTCTGGCAGCCACTTCAGCTGTGGCTTTGTGTTTGTACAGTGGCCTCTCAGGGCAGGGGGAAGCACGCAGTGCTCTAGAAATCTTTTTGCCTAGTAAGAAGTAGCAACACTGGGAAGCAAAAACAGAGTAACTAGGCTGAGTCTGAAGAATAAAACCACTTTTGATGTTGTGTATAGATCTCTGCTCTGTTGTGCCTAGATATGTTCTAGAGGTGTTTGGGTTAGTCTGTAGGTTAGCATAAGGTAATGTGCTTAGTTGTTTAAACAGTGTTTTCTGTGTTGTCGCTGGCAAAGCCGTAGAGCTTTTTTTCATGTAAGATCATAGACTGGTTTGGGTTGGAAGGGACTTCAAAGACTTTCTAGTTCCCACCCCCCTGCCCTGGGCAGGGCCACCTTCCACCAGCCCAGGTTGCCCAAAGCCCCGTCCAACCTGGCCTTGAACCCTTCCAGGGAGGGGGCAGCCACAGCTGCTCTGGGCAACCTGTGCCAGGGCCTCACCCCCCTCACAGGGAAGAATTTCTTCCTTACATCTAATCTAAATCTCCCCTCTTTCAATTTAAACCCATTACCCCTCATCCTACCCCTACACCCCCAACTCTCTCAGCCTGTCCTTATCCTGATTATAGGTGAAAGTCATGAAACAACTAGTTTATGTGGAAGTCACTGTGGTAATAATGGAGAGAACCTCTAGGAGTCTTCATCCAAACTACAGCTTTCAGCTAGTCCATTCCTTCTCATTGGTGCTACTTAACTTCATCTTTTTTGTTTTTTAAAGAAAAATAGATTTCTCTGGCTGTGTCAGCCTTCCAACTTATCCCAGTTGCACAAACCCCAGCTAGCTAGAACCGTGTATTTTGCTGAGCTACAGCTACTGTGGTATGATGCTTTAAAAAGAAAGAAGTCCTTATTCTTACGTATTGTAGTGGTGCCCCTTCATTAGAATGACTTTTTAAAATGAGACACTTCTGTGTTTCTACTGTCAGTGCAGCACTGCTTCCCTGTTGAATTAAGGGGATGATGAGAAACAAGGGTCAGGTGACTTTTGCTCTCTGTTAAACTTCAGTGGCTGTGGGTTTGCTTAGGTATTTACATTCAGCACAAACTTTTTGCAGACACTTCAGGAATTTTTTAAAAATTAAGTGTTAACAATTATTTTAGGGTGGTTTTTTTTCAGTTTGTAACTAACTGTCCAAATCTAGTGTCTGAGGCAGAGCACTTCAAAGTGAATTCCAAAGGGTTTTTCTGATTAAATAGATAAGAAAACTGAATTTCATAATGTAAAAAGGTGTCCCAAAATAGCCAGGCTGCAGTATCTTCTGAGACATTAAAAATGATTAGCACCGTATCTATCAGAGCCAATCTCTTAAGTCTCTCCAGAGTACAAGTCAGCATAACCTATATATAGGATGTGTTCTTTCTGCCTAAAAGACTAGGAATTCTTCTAGAGGGTCAGAGCTTAGTGAAAGTTTTGTAGCATATTTAGTTTAACAACTGAAATCTTCAAAAGAGTTTTCTAGTACTGGAGAGGTTTAGGGTATACTGAGAATTGGTTACAAGGAACATATGGAATTTTGCACACAAACTTCCCCCTGCGTCTGATCGGTTTGCATTCACGAATAATTACCGAGAATAAAATTAAACTGGGACACCTGGCAGTACTTTGTAAGTTGTTGTCTACTTCTTAAGGTATTAAATTACGCTCTTCCAATGGAACAAGCAATGTTCTTCCATTTATTTGCCAGGTATGGGACTTGTGCATGTAAGTATTGAAGCCAAATAAACAAATCTGAAGGGTTTTTATGCAGCTCAAGAAGTACATAGAGTGCAGAGCTTGGTACGGGGTCCTTGAAATGAAAAGCTATGAAGTGCCAGGAACACTGACCACTATTAGCAATAGTGGGGGTTTGGGGGTGCAGCCAGGACATTCGGGTTAGTGGCATTGAAAGGCATCAGAACAGGTTCTGGATGTAACTTCTAAGAGCAGAGCATCGATATAAATGGAGACACTTCTACACCTAAGTCTCCTCAACTATTCTAGCCTCAACGCTTGCACAATAATAGTGGCTTGCTCAAAACATGAGGCAAGTGGCCTTTATTTTGAATTCTCCTTCATCAGATTGGTGTAGTGAGCTGGTGATGTCTGCTCAGTTTTGACTGAAGCAAATGAAAGTCTCCCCCATTTTTACAAGTGCACAGCATCAGTGGACATCAGTGTACTGAGACTAGCTGTGAAAACAATACTGTGTTTGGAGGGGTTTTAAGTAACAAATTATATGTAGTGAACTGCTTGTCATCTAGAACATGGTGAATGGTCCCTCCATTTCCTGTGAGACAATGGGCTTGTTACTCCCCCAGCGAAAATGGGAAGCCAGTCACGTTCATTTAGTGCAGCAGGATAGTCCAGGAGAAATCTCGTATATCAGGAATCCTGAGCAAATCAGAATAGACCAACTCTAAAATAGCTGTTTGTACAATAACTGTTACATATGGAAATGGAAATAACTTCTATATTTTCTGAATTTCAAGTGGAATAGTGTTTCTCAATTGAAACTTGCTCTTCTAACTTCCTCCTGCCTCTCAGCATAGTTACTCTCTCTAGTCTGTGTTCACTAACCACTAAAAGCCTTTCTAAGCACAACTTCGTCATGAGTTTAGTCTTAGGGTGCCAGATGGTCTCTGCCATGACTGTTCTCGAGTACATGTTGTGCATTCACGGGCTCCTTTCTCAAGGGCTTCTTCAGTGACTGCCGGGAGGTCAAGGGGCTACCTGTCTTGCTCTTGTTCTCTGAAATCACTTTGCTTGCCCTTGAAGACATCTTGGAGCTGCACAGAATGGGGCCACATGGCAGCAGAAAGACACTCTTGCAGCACGTCTCAGCCGTGCAGGTGAAGGGCTTTTTGTGTGGTCAAACTCACTTCAGAGGGAATTGTAAAATCCACTTGAGAAAATGTAAAACTGATACTTCAACTCCTGCGGTATTGGCAAGGGGTAAAAAGCCAGAGCACTGCTGCTGTCAAGAGTAAGTGCTGCTGGGCTGATTCTTCTCGTGAGTGGGGAAAAAATCAAAAGTTTAAGACAAATTCACAAAAAAATGTTTCTTCTGTGCATCTTGCAG